ATTTGTGCGACACAGATTATATCGGGCACACGAGCCGTCATTTATACACCAACACGTCCATAAACGTATTAAACGTTAGCCTGCGGACAATAGATTAAATGATGTAGACACGTAGACCTATACATGGTGTGATCGATGACATTAGACGGCGGACAGGCTAATTAAACGTTAGATATATATTTCAGCCACTGTGTTTTGTTTTTTTTGGGGGATTTTTAGGAGCTTTTTTTATATTCTTGCTATTACATTGCATGGAAAGGTTTTGCTTTTACCAATGGTAAAATATATTTGTTATAAGTAAATGTCTGATTGCTTGATCTCTTGGTTAGTTGATTGAACACGTTAATTGAACAGTTCGTTAATTGATTGGTTGATTTAATTATTTAATTATTTAGTCGTTTTCCGTTTACTTTTCATGAGTAAACTAATTTATCGAATATCGTTAAGAAGGATCCGCAGTAATTGGCTGTAGCTGTTGCGAAAATCCTGCCTTGATTTATACATATATAGTAATTTGATTTTTAATATTGTTACTAAGGAAGAGTCAGATAAATTAAAATTAAATATTACACACTGTACCTGTAAACATCGTCATCATGATCATCATCTGTCTGATCGACCGGAATCCCGTCCAGCTCTTTCAAATTGACCAATACTTGAGTAATTCTGCTTCTATAATAATTAGATATTACATAATTTTCACTTTTTAATATTAAGCCGAAGATAAGTATAGGCTAACAGGGTCGTGTTTACAAATTCTGTCGATAAATAGAAGATTTCACTTCAAGCAGAATTTCGACGTTTCTTAAGGCCTTTTTCACATCAATCCTGTCGTGGCGAAGCGTAGCGTATTTGTTTCCTGAGTCCTAGAGTGGAACTGATGACTTCGACATAAAAGAAAATGCTACGATACTTTACGATACGCTTGCAGTGGAAAAGTCTTTAATGCTCCAAGTTTTCACTTCTCCGATTTATGTAAATGATGCAATTCCCGAACATTACGATTACATCGAGTATGGCGCTTATATTTATATATGTTACTTACTTAGCTCAAGACTTTTTATCTTTACAACAATTGTGATATTAATTGTTCTTGTTTGTGGAAACACCACGTATAAATTTATTACTGCAAAGCTTTCGATCCGTAAGCCCGGATCTTCATCAGTGCTAATAATATGTGACTTGTTGAATTTAATTTTTTATTTTTAACTTTTTTTAATTTTTATTAGCACTGATGAAGATCCGGGCTTACGGATCGAAAGCTTTGCAGTAATAAATTTACGTGGTGTTTCCACAAACAAAAACAATTATATTTTATCGCCATGCAAACATTCAAAGAACTTAATTGTGATATTACTTTCCTAACTGCGTTTTATCCTAACGCACTCTGCCAACCAACCTCGTACCCAGGGTGCGAAGGTAAGAGCCTGGGTACGAGGTTGCCTGCCACCTTGCCGTGTGGGAGGAAATCGGAGGGCCCGGAGACAACCCACGACTTTCGACAGAACGTTGACAGACTCGTTTCACACGAGTTCGTAGCGAGAATCGAACCCACTATCTCAGAGGTGAAATGCTCTTGCTCTGACGACTTCGCCACCGAAGCCCTACCACTCCAGTCTATATACCAGTTTATTCTATAACTATTGAGATTCCCAGAACAGTAGAAGAGTGAAATAAAAATCTTATCCTCACGGCGTTATTTTTCTTTCACATGTAAAATGTTGTTGATTTTTCATTCGTCGTTATATAACAATTAATGTCTGTTCCCTCAGGAAAAAAATGGTCTCGACTTAGTCACGGGAAACACTGAGAGTCCAAAACAAAACTATTTAACTCGGAAGCAGATATTTAAGTGTATATTATACCTACTACATTACGTATATGTTACCTATGGTCCTCCTTGTTTGCACAAGGATTGTCTTTCAAGGATAATATCATTAGAGAATGTGGAAGTTCGTCTAGATAAAATTGAAGAAACCTGAGCATTAATTATCATTAGTATAATTACATAGGTGATTATTGAAAATTCTCCACGCTGATTGGTTGCCGTTGAGGTGATTATTACGCGATAATCACCTAAGCGATTTTCAAAATGGCGGCCGAAGCCTTTTTGTCAATTAAATGACGAAGAGATGTGTATTTTTTTATTTTTTCCATATAATCACCTATGAAATTATACTAAAACAATTATTCACCTCAGGCTCGGTGATTATCGTGAAGTGTCCCTCCCCTATCCTCTCCCCAATATTTCGTGAAGTGTCCGCCACTGAGCTTAACCCTAGGTTTAACCCAAAATTCAAAGAAAACTTCCCAACAGTTTGTTTATAAATTTGGAAACATTTCTATTGAAATCTTGTCTGGATGAGTAGCAGTTTTTTCTTCTCTGAAGTTTTGGAATAAACAGACGTGCAAAAATATAATAAGCTTTAAGAGCAATTTGTTTATAAATTTGGAAACATTTCTATAGAAATCTTGTCTGGATGAGCGGCAGTTTTTCTTCTCTGAAGTTTTGGAATAAACAGACGTGCAGAAATATAATAAGCTAAAAGAGCGGGTTAAATTTTAGCCGACGGTTAGCGCTAATCCAGCTTTGAACAATCAGCTCCAGGCAAGAAGTTTCTCCTTACAAGTTTTCCTTGACAAATTTAATACCGGTTCGTGCATGTCTATACGGCAAAAATTTACAATGTTTTCCTTAGCCCGCGTGCAGGCCCAAGGAAAGAATAGTGGGCCTGCAAGCAAGGCTCGGTATTTTGTACTTTCCGCGTTCGCCCACGAACACGGCATTCTGATTGGCTGTTTGCTGTTGGATTCTATAATTAGATCACTGATTCATCACAAAGGCTCTCGATAAGCTTAAAATTCGAAAATTGATCACTGTTTTCGATTAAAAATGGAACAAGAACGGACTGCTTTATGTTTTCCTGAAGGAAGAGATGTTTTTGCCGTTATGCCAATGGGGATTGCTTGTCGTGATGTGTTGGAATAGCAACATTACGACTGGGGTATATTAATTTCAAACAGACTTGATACGTTATATGTAATATGTTCCCCAAGAAAATTATCTTTCGATTGATGTTGACTCTGTTCTTGCACTGAAGAAAACAGCGCTTTTCGCGGTGAAGATTTAGAGACAGTTGCAGGTAAGCCTATTCGAAACACTTTGCGATTTGCAAGGCTTCGCTGAGAAAGCGAAACAGAAGACGGTATTAATTGCCGTTTGAAACGAAACGTTCTGGACTCTGAACCCTCTCTTCTTTTGTGGAGTTCTTTACCAAATGAAATAACTGAAATAAATTTCGTACTTTCCGCCGCCAACAAGAATTGCACACACGATCTGATAAGTGAGACAATTTATTTATAACAACGGCGATTTGAAGTTTGAGACTGGTTTTCTGTTGAAATTCGTCGTAATTTGCCTGTTCCGATTTTAGTTGAAAATGAGCACTTGTAAATTTAGCAATTACTAACTGCGTTGCTTGCTTTTTTGGAGTTAAAACACAGTCATTTACACATTTAGTTTCTATTTTGAATATTAAAGCAGAGAAAACCCCGCAACATTTTAATGCGAGTTTGTTTGTTAATATTTGGGTTGCTGTCATTGGTTCTTTTTTGACAATTGACGCGCGAATGGGGTGTGTTATGAAAAGGGGCGTTTTACAAAATACCGGGCCTTGTTTGCAGGCCCACTATTCTTTCCATGGGCCTGCACGCGGGCTATGTTTTCCTTGACAAGGAGCGTTTTTAAAGCTAGTCATGACACAGTCAAGGACTTTTCAAGGACATCCAAGACCATGTATCAGCAATTTCAAGCACTGAATACTGAAAAGGCGTTAGAAAGTACAATGTCATGTTCAATTGTCCAAAACGCAACTTTAGTGAATTTCAAAAAGCTCTGTCAGATATGATCACGCAAAATCAATGCAACAAAATGTTCGTTTTTGAATGACAAATAATTTCAGAAAATATTCATATAAGAATTCAAGGACTTTCAAGCACTTTCAGCTTTTCAACAAAGAAATTGTCCATGTATAAGACCAACAAGGAAAATTGCCGATTGTGTTCCCATAATTTCACTGGCTCACTGCCAACTCATCTATCTTCACCAATAAATCTCATTGTTATATAGCCAAGGTGTGTTGGAGATTAACAATATATACATATATAGACAGTATTAACAGTTTAGAAGCCGGAAATGCGGCGTGCGCCAACACTTCCGGTGAAACGAACACATGTTGTAAAAACATTAGTGATGAGTGCGAGCGTGCGAATGGAGATTGTTATATAGGGCGAGATATTAAACTAGTAAAAAAGGAAAGAGATTGTTAACTAAACCTGTGTTTATAAAACTGTGAATTGTCGTAAACACAACAGGAGGCAATTTACGACACCTGGCACCTCCCAACGGGATTGTAACTAGAGATTTAGCTCGAGCAAGAGCAAGGGAATTCCGAATATAATGGCATTAAAACAACAACTCGACGAAATTGATGGCAAGTTACGTTTACTCAATTTTACGACCAAGAAAACCGATGATATACTTAAAACAAACGATGAAGAAGTCGCTATTCGACAAAAGGGTCAAATAACAAAGATTATTTTGGCTATAAGTGACCTGAAACAACTAATCGAAGAAAATAAATTTATCGAAGGCGACTCCGAAGAGAATGTCGCAGCATGGGGGGAATCAATCGAGGAAAATATAGCTTTGGCCGACGAGAAAGTGAAGCAGTTAAACGAGTATATTCAGCGCCTTAAAGCAGACGAACGCCAGAAAGAAAGCGCCCTGGAAAACGAAAATAAACGACTATTAGACGAAGAAAATTATACGAGACAACAAGCCTTCGAGAAACACGAAAGAGATAAACAACTTGCCTTCGAACAGGAACTTTTCAATCAAAAATTACAGTATCAAAAGGAAATTAAAGAAGTTCAAGCAGGGAAAACTCATCTACAAAGCTACCAAAGCTTGTAATTACACCTTTTAATGGCTCATATCACGACTGGTTGCGATTCTGGGGCCAATTTTCTGCGGGTATTGAGTTGGCCGATATTCCTGATGTGATGAAATTCTCTTACCTGAAAGAGTTAGTAGAACCCAAGATACGGACATGTATAGATGGACTGCCCTTCACGACCGAAGGATACAAAAGTGCGAAGAAAATCCTTGAAGAAAAATATGGAAACACCAGTGAAATTGTGAATTCCTATGTGGAAGAAATCGTGAATTTGCCAACGATAACAAGTACCCGACCGGAGAAAATACACCCCTTCTACGAGAAATTGGTTTATTGTGTTCAGTCACTAGAAACTTTGGGAAAACTTCAAGAAGTAAATGGATATGTACGACTTACCTTGGACAAAGTACCTGGAATACGTGGGGACTTAGTCAGAACTGAGCCCAAATGGAAAGACTGGACATTCACAGATTTAGTCAAAGCACTGTTCGCTTGGACTGAAAGAAACCCTATTGAAGCAAAGACAAGCAACGAAAGGAAAGATGCATCAAGGGCTTATCAGACCCGTCAAGTAGATCAGAAATCTCAAGCGTGTGTATATTGCGACTCTAAAAATCACAAGTCCATTGCTTGTGACTCGGTGACCACCTGTGAAGCTCAACGAAAGATTTTATCGGACAAGAAACTGTGTTTTAACTGCACGGGTGGTAGTCATAGGGCATCTGAGTGTAGGAGTAAGCAAACCTGCCAGAACTGTAACCGACGTCACCACACCTCAATATGTGAACCAGCCAAAACCATTTTGACCGCAGCATACCACCCCAGCGATCACAAAGTAATTTACCCAGTAGTTCTTGTCGAAGTCGACGGTACCAAGTGTAGGGCACTGCTTGACACCGGTTCCGGAAGCTCATACGCATCTGCGAAGTTAGTCGAACAGTTAAACAAGAAACCTAGTGAGTCGAAAGTTACAAGAGTTGAAATGCTAATGGGATCAGCAACTCGTCGAGTGGAAATCTTTAATGTGAA